CCCCAAGAGTTACACACATGAGTAGACAAAGATCACCGAGATAACAGAGACACATAAATGCACAAGGCATCAGTTGTCACTGTAAGTATGGTAATAAGAAACCAGCAGAGGGCGAGGAGATGGGTGGGGGGGGGGGGGGGGGGGGGGGGGGGGGGTAGCAAAGAGGGTAACAGCAGCGAGTAGCAGGTAGGAGCAGGCAGCGTAAACAGAAACAGCAGTAGTAGCATGAGGTGATAAACACCACCTCATTGACTTGTGAGAATGTGATTGCTGATTGTAGGAATCTGCCTGAGTTAACTTTGCGCTTCATTTGTGTCGCACGGCAACAAGGAATTCCCAAAATACAATTGCATGTGTGATTTCTGCAGTCGTCTGTAAAGATGGAGAGTTGTGATTGATCAATGTATGCAAAACAGCTTGTCGTGAGTATGGAAAAAACATCCCTAACGTATAACTTCAAAAATAAACAAAAACAGTTTGGGACACTGGTCTAAAACAGGCGTCTCCTGGGCGTAAGACCTGTGTGTGTTTGACTCATCCACCTTCCCATGCTAAGCACACCTCATACTGGAAACACATGTGCTGTGACGTCACTATGTTTTATTGTGTTATCTAAAAAAAAAAAAAAAAAAAGAAGCTTTTTGATTCTACCTGTTGACATTTGTTTTTCTAGCATCCTCCTTCATTGAGGCTTTCCTCTTAATTAATATGTCATGGTGTCATATCATCTGCATTGCTATCTGTGGGAATCGGACAAATGCAACACTAGACAACAAATGAAGCCAACACAGCTGTTGTTTACACAGTGTTTAAGCTTTTGTTTTCTTTAAACATCTGTTGGCAACACATTGTGGCTCCATGACCTTCATCAGGGTATTCTGAAGTCAAATACACAGAAGCTTTGGTAGCTCCTAACATGATGTCTATTTATGTTTTTATATTTAATATTGCATACTTTTATGATATGTTTTTTTTCCTCAGCTTTTATGAAGATCTTATATCTCAGTCAAGCTTTTTAATCAAATAATGATTAAATAGAAAAGTGTTAAAAATATGGTCTGATTTTTTCAGATGACTGCCAACAGACCGCTTTTTGTCCAAAGAGTTTCCAACCTCACACACTGGCTGAGAAACATTCCAGCTTCCTATCTGTTTTCCACAGCAGATGAGATGTTACAGTATCATATCAGTGCAGCAGACTCGCAGGCACATAGAGATACAGCACCCACACACACACACACACACACACACAAACGCACTGGGATGGATGGGTCTGCCAATCAGCCGAGCAGACTGCAGCCCAATCCTCGGCTGTGCGCTTCTCTCCCACAACAGTGTGACTCAAACTCCGAGCTTTGCAGTCAGTGGAGCGTATCAGCCTCCATCTTCACAGGAACCGCTGCCACCGCTTCCACTTTTCTATCTCATTATGCACTTACATACAGTTTCTAATAAACCCAGCATGCTCAAATCATCCGTGCAAACATGCGCTCAAAGTGTGCAAGGAGCATGTTGACAACGCGACAGAAAATAGTTCCTGTGTGATGGCACTGAAGATAGCTCTAATGCAGGCATGATGTGTTGATGATTTTACCACGGAAAGAAAGAGACAGAAAGAAAAAGAGACTCCGAGTATCATGCAGACAAACATATCCTGCATTCCTTACAAATATATATATTTTTAGGATGTTTTTTAAGTGCGGCCTTTAAACAATCAATGAAGTTAATTATTATAATTTACAATACAAAATAATTGTGTACGTCAAAGGTCACAGGAACCTCCATTGTTATGTATCAGGTCCACTAGCATACTGCATATTAGAAGGGAACATCAGAGGGCCAGTAAACACAGCATATAGCTACAAGTGGTGCAAAACAATTACGATTCTGAGGACAAGTTGTGACCTAGAGTTAGTGTGTGTACGTACATGCTGTCTCCATTAGTGAATGTTAGGTGTCCCTCCTGTTGGTGTGCAACTTGGGAGACGAGATGAGATGAGTCACACTCACAGCTGCGACTCATCTATCCAAAGTAACACGATGTTCTCATTCAGACATAAATACAGCTCACGAACACACACACACACACACACACACACACACACACACACACACACAGTCCTGCACGTACACACAGCTACACCTCTCACACAGGATCTCACAGGCATAATATACATTTTGTACTGTACATGTAACACTCAGTTTTGCAAACTCTTCTAGTAAAGCTTTGCTGCTCTCAGCCGTCATTCGCTGCTAGCAAAACAAGGGCAGAATACGTTGATAATTAGAAAGTTTGAGAACACAATTTGACCGTTTCAGGATTTGAGATCATTTTGTTGGCTTGTAGCATGTCCCAAGAACAAATGTCATCTTGCACGGTAATACAATATAAATTGTGTTATTTTTACTGAGGAAAGAACAAAGGTTATACTGCAGATTGAACAAACATCTCAAACTCCACATTCAACATTTTTTTTTCAGGAACTTTTATTTGCATCTCAATTTTCATCAGCAGATGAAATTGCTCAGTTGTCATGGGGATAGCTCGTGATTGTGCTGAACGTAATAGCATACGTATATTAATATGATATCAATATCTACTGATATCACAGGATTTTCATAAAGACAATGAATCTGTACTGACTTTGGCAATCCTCTAGTTCTCATCAGCAGGTTCACATTTGTAGTGAAATGTCCATCGATTATACGGATTCCCGTAACGTTTGGTATGTTCTCTTCTGGATAAATTGTGATAACAATAGTGTTGTCATTGTGAGCATGTTGGCATGCTGACATTAACATTTAGCGCTGTCTTTTAGCACAGCGAACATAGCCACTACCACCAGCATGCTGGCTTTAAACTTAAAGCTACATTATATAGTTTTTGATTAATAGAAGAGGTAAAAACTCTTGAAAACAGTGCACATGCAGTGGATCCATGTGTGCAACATCCACGGCCACTCGACTAGTCTGATATTCTCCTTTCAAGTTTGTTTTTAATGAAAAAATATCTGGTAGATGTGCTTCCTCTTTTTCTCATCCTTTTGTTATCTCCCTGAGGTCTGCTCACACCGCACACATGTATTGTGAGCTACGTGTATTGTGAGCTATGTCTTGTTTCAATTGAATGAAAGCCACCTTGTTTATAAGCAGGTGCACACATGTGAGATAATGCTAATCTCTTTACATGAGATTAGCATAATCAACACCCCCAAGTTGCTGTATGAGGCTACCTGGTCTAGTTCATTTGTGTTCAGGATTCACTCTCAGAGAATTCCTGCTGTCAGAAAATTTGAAAACAAGTAATTGTATTGTCTTTTCATAGTGTTTTAGAATGGAAAAAAACTCCAGCACACTGTCTTCTTCACTTGTAGCAGAGCTATTGTAGTGAAGTTTCAGGACACAGACCTTGATCAGGTTATTTTGTATAATGTTTTTTTTAAATCCATTAAACAAATGTCATAGTTTAGTTTATAAAATCCATAAAAAGTCAAAATATTATATTTAATGTATAGTATTTTGAAGACACAGCCATAAAAGAAATTCATAGCATAGTATGTACAAAAAGGTCAAACTATAGTATGTCAAAAAAGTCATATTATAGGATCTGAAAAATAATTCATAGTGATTATGTTGGCAAAATCCATAAAAGTTGATATATATCGATAAAAGCGAGTCGAAAAAAGTCATAAAAAAGTCACCGTGTGAAAATAAGAAGATATAGCAACTCTGAAAAAGTCATAGTATAGTATGTCTAAGAAAGTCATAAAATCATAGTATATCATGTTGAAAAAAGTCATATGATAGTATATAAAGAAGAGCTGTAAAATGATTTGGTATAGTATGTCGAAAACAAGTCACAATATAGTCAAAAAAGACATACTGTAGTAAGTCTACTACAAAAGAGTTAGTGTAGTAACCACAACACAAATGCGAAATCATACGAGTTGAGAATCCATAAATAAGCAAATTTATTCACAAAACAACAATAAAGAACAGAACAAAAGTGCAAGTCCAAAATCAGTTATGTGAGCATTATGCGGATGTTTGAAGATAGATAATAAGATAATAAATATCATATAGAAAGTTTAAAAAGTCAATGTGTAATAGTAAAGTATGTCAAAAAGGTCATAGTAAAGTATGCTATGACATTCATCAAAAAAAAATCATATAGGATGTCTGAAAATAGTAATATAGTATGCTTCAAAAAGTTAAAATATGTCATTAGAAAGTCTTAGAATAATTTGTCACAAAAGGTCATGGTATAGTATGTCAAAAATGTCATAGTGTACATACAAGTCACAGTATAGTGTGAGAAAGTGAGTGAGATGTTTCACGGCTATATTTCTTACTTATTTCACCATGCTTGTTAATTGTTTGTTCAGCCATCTTGCTTCATGTAGCTACACCTGAAGATACGTACCATCCCAGGGTTGTCTTATCTTTAACATCAGCATTAAAGTAAAGCATGGACCGGTATTGTTAAGTTAGGTGCTACATTTAGTGATTGTTTTAGTTCTGCATTCAAATATTTAATGATTTTCTTTCTTTGGTACTTACCATACCCACCATGTGTTCCAGAGACAAAAGGGGGAGGAGCACAACCCCTTCCTGTATTTATTACACTGGATGACTTCATCGGCGATGTAATTAGATTATTAGACCAAGTATGGGGGGGAAGGTAGATAACGTTAAGGAAGTTATTTATGTTGTGATCTTTTAGTATGGTTGCAAATGTATTTTATATGGTAAGTTATTCGAAAGCGTTTTCCACTGGAAGGTTAGATGTAATGAATAACTTCATCGCTTACTTGTTTCAGGAGCCGTATTGGACTTACCTGCAGTCGTGGTACAGATGTGATTGACTGCTGATGGAGTGGTCTATGTAAGCCGGGGCTTTCGCTGTTAAAGGGGATAGATGTCAGTGTGTCGCTGTGTGCACGAGATGTTATGTTAAGATACCTTATATAAATATAAAGAACCATTCGATTGAGCATAAATGTAAAAAAAAAAGTATAATTCTTGAAGTTGGTTTCAAACAGGTTTATATTCTTGCCGTGGTGAAATCTTTTTATCAAATGAAACAAAACACAAACTAATACATTGAGGTATGCAGATCACAATTTTATTTGGGTCATTTGTTTTGCACTCGTGACACTTGATCCTCATTTTATTCCATTATCTTCATCTAAACTAATAACAACAGAACAATGACACATCAATAATAATCCAGTGGAATCACTGCAGGTAACCAATCAGTACATCACGATCATTCTATTTTTAAATTTCTTTCTAAGTTGTTCTCTCTATTATTCAAGCTACTTGGACTCTGAAACAGGTGGCCTCTAAGGTGCTGGTGCTAATTCCTCTGACCTCACCGCTTCACCACTTCACTGTGTACGCCTGTCAACAAAAACTCAGATTGGTGTGAAAATAAAGAGAGGGCAAGTGCTGGGCCAATCAGAAAAGAGTCTTTGTTCGTGGTTGAAAATGGAGCACTTGTAGCCCAACTGTTGCCTAGAGACACATTGCAGGCAATTACAGAGCAAGATTACAGTGGGGGAGAAAATAGGCAATATTGTCAATGGAGCATGAATTTGTGTGTGGGTGGTTGTGTGAGCGTGTGATTGCAAGTGCATGTGACTGCACATGTTGAATATAGCAGGTTGAGCATTAGTGGAACTATGTGAAAAGGTGGAAACAGAATTGTTAATAATATCTTTTATTCATCCTTCATCTTTTGCATGTAGCAGCTTTCTGAACCTCCTGTAATTTGTGTGTAAGCTATATACATGTATGTGAATAGAAACAGAGGTTTCTTTATGTGATACATGCAATTTCAGCACGTTGTCTAACTATTTGGAAAGCTGCAGGTACCATTATTTTAAAAAACAGTTGCTAAAATTTCTATTGACAAACCCTAAAGTGGGAGGTAAAAACATCATTTTCTGTCATCAGTCATTAGAGATGCTGCTCTCTTTGAGTGTTGAGGTGGACACGACTCAATGTATTGAAACAAACCACTAGTGCACACAAACACAGTATGGTCAACAACTATATCCTGGTCCTGTAATACAAGGTGTTAAATAGCGCTACAAGGTCTCTGGCTAAGTATTGGGGCCTCATTTATACATTTTAATTGGGATTTATTAAAAGATCTGTTCATATCAAGTTGTGCTTTTAAAACCATACAGGTGTTGAAAGTAGACCTAGCTAGTCACTCACGGTGGATCTATTTTCTCTCTACTGTTCTGTTGGCTCTCCCTAGGATTTTGTTCAGATACAACATTTTGCCCAACAAAAAAGTCATTGATTAGGGAAAATAAAGCTCTCCAAGCCAACAAGCTAGCTAATGGTCAGTTAATAGTACCGCTAACGGTACAATAAGTTCCCAAAGTTTATACAATAGACGGATTGTTACCATGGACTCCCGTCTCATAACTGTCTGCACCATTCCTCTTTTGTGGAGCAGTTTATACTCCAACAGAAGGGTTAAATAAAAGTGGATAGTGCATGATAGCTAATAAGCTACGATAACTCTCTGGTTCCCCATTCCCTCAGGGGTCAATATTGGGTAATTGCGCAAACTCGACACGGAACATTAGTTTTAATTTTGCCGCCTCTGATTGTGGCAATTCCATGGGAATGAATTGATTTTACCATTTTAAATCCTGGTGTCCAGACTTTTATGTCTAACTGTGATATCCAGGTCACAAGACAATCTCCATTTGAACAATTTGCATGCTAAAATGACACTTGGTTCCTTCAACACCAATAATAAGACAAGGCAAATGAGGCCCCAGGACTAGAACAAAAGCCTGTACGCCCTCTAGCTCAGCAGGGATCTGCTTTAAGAAGTGGACTGCACATTTTCCACTTTCGACAGAGTGACGGGTATCTTACCCTTTTCTATACCTGGAGGCTTAGTGACCACATCCCTGGGATCCCTAAATCCCCACCATTTTGACCCAGACTCTCCTCTCCGTTCCCCTTCCCCTGGTCTGTGGAAAAGCCTCTCTTTCAAATTGGCCCTGGGGAGGATCAAAACAACAACCCCCATCGCCGCCAGGGCCGATCCAAGACAGGAGAGCCCGATCCCTGCAGCAGTGCGGAGATGCAGCCCCCTGTTGAAGCTCACGGCCTCGGTGTCCACAAAAAACAGGTCCCCCTCTCCAAACGACTCAATTCTATGGGGAGTGGAGCAACCAACTGACAGGATGGCAATGCCTGCAGTCAGGATGAGCAGACTCAGGGCCAGGTACACCTGGACAGAGAGGGAGACAGAGAAATAAACCAAAAGTAGAAAATATGTGGAGCCCTGGTGTTTTGTTTTTTTAATAGTTGGCCCTATTTGCTCAGTGCTCTTCACGTCTCGTTAGGAAAGGTCATTTTGTTGTGTGATGCAAAAAAAAAATCCAAATTCATGAATCCCTCACTTTAACAAATGACACCACACCACTGCTTGCACTTCATCACACAGAGACAGTGCACTGTTTGCACAATACTAAATGATTCCACTGGTGAAGCTGGGGGGGGGGGAATAAAAATGACTTGTTTTCTATCATGTACTGTTGAAAAGGGGATGTGCACTAAAAGGCTTTTATAATCAGCCTCGAAATAGCATGTAATCAATTGAATTGATTGATGCAGTTACCACAGAAGGGACTCTTAATGGATTGAGTTCCAGTCAGTCAGCAATATTAACATCAATATAGTTACAGCACAAGGGAGCAGGCAGAATGCCCCAAAAGATGATTATTAACAACAATACAGAAAAGAAGAAAAGTATGCTTGATTTAAAACGTGTGTAAGGGTAATGGGGAACATTAAGAAATACACTCATGGGACTTCACCCACTGACTACACCATATCAGTGAACAGCTTAAAGCTAGAGAGGATGAATTCACTTTGAGTGTAAAATGAGGGTCTCCAGGGATGTTATATGTTTTAAACAAACCTGATAATTAACATGCATCACTTCCTGGGTGCATGTATGATTTCTCATGGGATGTAACAGATGCCAATGGTGGATTTAATCTCAACTGGATATGTCTCAATCAGTAGCTGATATTTATTTATATGACATATCAAAGTAGGACTGATTAAGGAAAACACTGATTATGTTTCAACCCCGAATAATGTGAGAAATGCCGGAGAGGCTGAGCACTGAAAACGCATAGACACCAACGGACACAATGGAGGGGGGTGAGGGGGGTTTAAGACCCGGGAACAGAGATTACATGGTGATGAGTAATGCCAAGAGATTGGAGAGTGTAGTTGCTCTTTACCTTCCAGACTGGTGAGTTCCACCACGGGGTGGACGTCTGCCTCTGGACGGAACCCCGATCCTCCGGGTCTCTCTCCCACATGGAGGACGAGCACTCCTCGTAGAAGTGGTGCAGATAGGAACGAACCCCAAACTGAAGACAGCTAGAAGCCGCCTGGAAGGACGTCAGCCACAAAGGGAACAAATGAAATGGCAGATAAAGCGTGTTACCAAAGCATATATTAGATCTCCTCGCTACACCTGCCGAATGTTGATCATCATTTAGATCATCACCAAGGGAAAGTCAGCTCACCTCACTGCTGGAGGATTCTCCTCCTGAGCCAGAGACACAGGCCTCAGAGCACAGCGCCATCACACCTCACACACGTTGTACACCTACAGTGAAAAATACAGATACATACTGTAAGAAATATATATTCAGAGACCTGAACAGATTGATATGTGTAGATGTCAGCTATAGGCTCACATAAAAAAAAATTGTATCTGCTGAATATGGATTTTCCTATATAAAAGCCTCCATCCCTTCAGACGCTGGTTATAAATTTTGGCCTGTGTCGTCAGGTCGCCCCAGTTACTGTTGCCGCATGTGAACGATTGACGGCTACCATGGCAGTGAGGTGGCTCTATTACCACCCACGGATGAGTCACACGGATGCAAGTGTGTGCACACTCTATTCTTTTACGTATAAATATGCACACATGTCCCTCTGTTGTTATTCTCCCTAGGCGGTTTGATTGATTTCTTTCATTCTCTGCCTTCAAACAGTTTCTCTTCGAGGCTACACATGGCTGATCTCCGTCTGTACCGTAGAGTGAGTTTAACCTGACTGCAATTTCAAACATAACCCTGAAAACAAATCAGTAGTCAGCAAAGGAGAACATCCAGCTCGGGTAATGGTAGTTTTTTTTTTTACCCTCCTCCTCCGTGGCCAAAATCTTGAACCTGAGAGCACGAGCTGTCCAATTAAACATGCTTTTTGTGAGTCCATGTGATTCGTGTTTACGAGCCCTGCGCTCCTCGGCAATGTGAACTGTGGGGATATCAACAGAACCAGTAAAGACATGTGAGATGGTAAACTTCGTTTGCCAACAAAATAAGCTGTGTGAGATTGCACTGGGTCGAAGAAAGCTTTTTCAAACACAATATCCAAACTCTTTCATTTCAGTTGTCATGAATTAGCTCTAACATACGTCTTGCAGTTCGTGCTTTTAGAAACAGCATTTAACATGTCAGGAATAATGAATGTGGCCAGACTTCATCTACTTAAACATTTTGATAGTATTGACCTATTTATTGACCTTATTTATGGTAATTATTATTTAAAGTAAAAGTTCACGAGAAAATGAGGAAGAAAAGTCCATAACCAAAATAATTGCTAAAATAAATAAATAATCAGGTTTTTGATTATTACAAAAAGGATGAAACTTGGCACGTATCAGTGATACAGATGTGTCCCACACTGAGTATAGGATTTCACAGGCTACCAATAGTCTATTTGTAAGACAACATATGTCGTTTTTTAATCACATTCTTCGACAACAGACAGGATCAAACGGTATGGTGGTCATTTCAACTCGGCACAGACAGAAACGAACCGCCAGCGCTGATCACCAGTGAGTCATCGCGCGTCCTTCCAACACTTATCTCCGTCGCATTTCATCCACAGCGGCTCACTTTCTCTCTTTTTTTTTTTTTTTTTTTTCTCACAGCACCTGCAGCTTCCTCTTTTCACTCGAACCGAGTTCATACAACCGGTGACGGACACAGTCTTACCCCCTTGGCCGGAGTGGTCGCTCTTCTCACTGGGCGTCCATGTGCTGTCGGACCTCAAACGCTGCCGCTGATGTGAATCAGCTGAACGGGGACACTGAGCATGCGTGCAGATGAGGGGAAAAAAACACAAGGTTTAAACTCTCGATAACATATATCTGTCTGTTAACACAATATATTATTATCAAAGCGTTTAATTCATAGTTAGTTTGGTGAGAGGTTATCATGAGGTTTGTCACATTTAAATAGTGATACAATTTTAAATGCTATAAAGGGAAAAAAACGGAAAATGCGTCACCAAAGGAGATGTAAGCATCAGCTCACCATGGAGTCACTACCCGCCTACAGGAATAGTTAGCGGTACTATATGAAAGCCAGATTAAGCCTATATATCTATAACCGATTTTATAGGTCTAGCACTGTTGTCATATATTTAGCTGGGATGAGCTGTTTGAAACCCCCCCCCTGGCACATACTCCACCTGTCTAGATATTATCCCTTTGAAGTTTGTTTAATCTGAAGGGCTTTTGGAATTTGGCCACAGGTGCTTTTAAATTGGTCCAAACCTTTCTTGAGTGACCTCGTCTTGAACCCTTGTCTTCTGCAGACTACCTCTTAGCGAGTCTGGCAACTTTTATTTTTCCAAACTGCCCACTGTTTTAACCTTCACCATGAAAATGTCCCCCAATGTCCACGAAATAAATTGTTTTCTGGGTTCGGTGTAAAAGGACTTGACTGGCTGGCACGGACCTCAAACCCATACAACACCTTTGGGATGAACTGGAAAGCCAATTGTGAGCCAGGCCATATCAGCCGTCATCAGTTGACCTCACTGTCGTTTGATGGGAGCAAAGCCTGCAACCAGGCTCCAAAGTCTTGTGAAAAGCCTTTCAAGAAAAACGAGGGCAGTTAAAGGGCGACTCCACCTATTTTACAAACAAAAACTGAGATCACTCCAACTCATCCTGTGAAAACAGTTGTAAAATCTCCTCTGCTGAAAGGGAGAGAGCTTTCTAATGTCTGAGATCATACAACAGAAAGCATCAGGTTCGAAGGTGTGTCAATTAAAGAGTAGTTAGGCATTTACCAGGTAGTGGATGAAATGACCATCACAGCAAATGCAAGTTTGTTAGATTCCACAATTTAGGAAGTGCCAAACCAAATTCCTGGAGTAACCTTTTAAAATAGCATATTAATATGGTTTTAAATGTTCATAATGTTGAGGTCTTTGATCACCACAGTTACATCCTTCTATGTCATCACGGTTTATTAGAATTCACGATCCTAAATGTAAATACAGCTATTTAAGTCTACAAAAGTAATTAGCAGCCATTGCATGCGGGATCCCACAGGGTTCAGTTCTGGGACACATTCTGTTCAGTCATTTTCTTTCATGTTTTCATCTAGCTACATTATTAGTAGAAATAGTAATTACCCCTGATTTTTGCTTTTGTTGCATTTGTGTATCTTTTATCAATTAAGATCCCCTAGGAATATAACATAAATACCATAATATAATATTTATTCTCACTTTAAAAGGTACATTTTTGTCTAAAATGACCACAAATGCACAGACATTTCATCAATGTGCAATAGTCCTTCAATTTCATAGTTAAGTCCTTTCAACTTTTCACCAACAAAGAGATAAACATTGTAAGGTAAGGTACGTTTTTGTACAACTGTAGAGTCTCTAAACTGTCCATCAAATGCCAAACGGACAGGATAGTCTACTTAAATTGAGTGCTGCATTCACCAGCTGTCAGCGGCTGATAATGCCTCCGAGAACGCAAACTAAATAAGCGCCTCTGCCTCTGTAAGCGGTACCTTTCATTAAAGGCTCACTTCAAGGCATGGTCCGTCTCTAAAATAATGTAAAAAAAACAACAACCTCACACACACACACACATGCACTCGCACACAGACAGATATGTGCCAATATGTGGTCTGTAAATATTTCAGTGTTTCGTGAAGATACATTATTTATGCAGACTGTCAAAACAGATCCCAAATGAAAAGAAAACAAATACTGTCATTTTCACATATTCATCCGATCTGTGTGTGAAAAGACCATTTTGCTACCAAGGCAGCATATTTGTGTGTGTGTGCATGGGGGTGGTGGTTCATCCCATTTGCTGTTTGGACACACTATAGTAAACCTTAAGCGGCAGGGTAAGACTGTTTCCAAGGTGCCCTTGTGAAAGAAAGACATGGAAAACTGGTCTTGTTTGTCATTCACCTCCCCACACACACACACACACACACACACACACACACACACACACACACACATTCATGCAGGTTTTTGAATGACCAAGCTGTGCTCTATCAGAGAGAGAAAGAAATTTCCATGGTTACGAGTCCAGCAAGGTCAGACTCAGGAAGTGAGTGCTAGGTGTTGATTGGCTGCTAGATAATTACACTTCCCTTCAAGATGATGTGCAAACAGGATTATTATTTTTTTTCATCTACTCTATTTAGAAGCTGTTGTAAAGCACTATCAGTCATTTCAGCTGCATGCCTTGCTGCCCTTATTACTTCCTTTATTCACCAGCTTGGGAGGGTTATCCTTTGGTGTGATAAATTATGCATTGTGCTTGTCTGGTATCTTAAAAATAACCTGTGCATCAACCCACACCAGCCTATAAAGCTACTGTCAATATGGTGGAACATCCGAGCCATCATGTTAATTAGTTGTGAAGAGCCTTTCATTTATTGGCTCGTGAAATAGAAAGGGTGAACCATTTTCCAAAGCTACAATATTTAGGTTTGATGACTGAGAAGACAGTTTTAGTTGTTTATTTTCTGCACCTGTCTAATCCTTGTCAGGGTGCTGGGGATAGTGGCCACTATCCCAGCATGCACTGGAAGACACTTTCTGACAAGCTGGCAGCTCAGTGGAGTGCTAATAAAAATATAGAGACACCACTTATACAATTTAATGCATAAAATTGTTATTCTTACTTCTCAAAGGAATAGTTTGCCTTTTTGGGAAATACGCTCACTTAGTTTCTTGCCAAGAGTTGAGAACTGGTGAGAAACTGGTCAGTCATGCAGTGTGAAAACCACAATGACTTCAAGACAGCACGTTGTGTAGTGTGAACGTGTGGTGTGTTAGCTTAGCTTAGCATAAAGACTGGAGACATGGGGAAACAGCCAGCCCGGCTCTGTCCAAAGGCAACAAAATCTGGCAATCAGCAGTTCTATAACTCATTAATTAACATGATATATGTTGTTGTTTAATCGGCACAAAAGCTGTAAAGTGTAAAAGCAACAATTTAAGGTTTTACTTGGGGTTATATCGGACAATTGTTGTTTACACTGGGCTACCAGGTTGCCAGTCTTTACTCAAAGCTAAGCTAAGCTAAGCGGCTACTACAGCTACATATACCATCTTGGTATGAGAGTGGTACAAGACGTTCTCATTGAAACTTGTGACATATAGACACTTTGTCAGACTACATGGCATCACGTTCTGACGCACTGGGTAGCCCAGCGCACAGTCGGAATAAATACGTGGTAAAATTGTGAATGAAAAAACAACGCCTGCTTTGGTTTAGGTAACAAAACCAGTTGTAGTAGTTGTGCTTAAGATAACTGGTACTAATGTTGTCGTCTAACTCTTAGCAAGAAAACAAATACGCTAATTTCCCTAATTGAAAAACTACTTCTTTAAATTCTCTCACTCTGTGCCTGTTTCTCTATCCCCATCTCAACCACATGTTTTTAAGCTTACATTTTCCCAGCTTGTTGAAAGTCTACCTAATATCCTTTTCTTCTCTATATCTCAAACCTAGGCATCCCTTATGGATTCATAAAAGAATTATTAAAACTCAAAATCATTCTGTCCTATCTTAAATGCAGTTAAGGCTTTTGACTTATCTTTTAATTGCACTAAAGGCTTGTTAAATCGAATTCCCTGTCTTTTCTCCCTTTTGTCATATCTCTGTTAAATTTAAAGCATACAGTCAGGACACATCACTCTATCTCAAATACAGGCACACCTTTACAATTGCATAATTAAAAGCTGGTTAAATTCACTCTGCTTCTCTCTATCTCTTTCTTAAAAGCAGGTATTGGAGGCGCTCAGTTATGGATGCACTGAAGCTGTGTTAAAAACCTCATATCTTTTGTTATCTTCAATGTTGCTATGCTTTTAGTAAGCTCACATTTTAATTGCACAATAAAGCCTCCGTAAAGCACATTTTTCTTCTCCCCCCCCCCCGTGTATTATACGAAGCGGAGCTGCTGCAGCGCTGCAGGCAGGGTGATGGCAGTGCATAGTTCAGAAGGTCACTGGATGCGTTTGTGGGTGCGGGGCCGGGGAATGGCTATGTTACATCATGCAGAGCGTCAGATAATGGCACATTAACATGAATAATGCATCCCATGTTGACAAGCGGAGAGGAACACACGGAGTCTAAATATTCTTTAAGGAGAGGAATTCATAGAATAGAATAGCACTTTGGGAACTAATGGGCCGTCAGGTGTCACATCCTATGATGAAGAGGCAGAGAAGTGTGTGCGTGTGTGAATGTATTGATGTGCGCCTGCATGACCGTACCGCTCGTTATTGCTCAATATGGGTTATCAGACCTTTTTTTTTTTTAAAACCTTTGAATGTTTTCTCATTTTGGGCTTCATGCTTCTCACTTGGGCTCGTCAGGACGGGAAAAAAAGAACGTGTTTTTGAAAAGACTATTGGTGGTGGATGTGCAGTATTTACTGTAATTAGATTTCCAGACAGTGGAAGTCTGAAGGAGATACAAGACAAAAATAAAGCTGCTACAATATGTCTATACATTTGCGATGCTTAGACAGTTACTTCTATTGAAAAATGTTTTGACTGGGGCTCTGATTGATTTGTTTCCTGTGGTCGGAATACCTATTTAGATTTTTTACGGACTCCATATACAAGTCTTGCATTCAGTGCTACTTAAGTAAAAGTACAAAATCAGCTAAAGTTCCTAAAGTTTTTTATTACTGATTTATTCATTTTTGAAGGATAAGGCTTTTCTATATTTATATTACTGTCAACAAATTCAATTAAAACACCAAAGCCAACAATATATTAGATCATCTCTCGCTACTTTCTGACTTCCCTACC